GATGGAGAAGACCTTCGCTGCAGGCAATAGCCTCGCCCTCTCTCAGCTGATCCGATCAACCTGTAAAAAAACACAAGTGTCAGCGAAACAATATGCAAAACAGACTAAGAGGAAACTCGCTTCCTCACTCTTTGTCTTCAGCGATGGGCTGAACACTTCCCATAAAATTTCAACCGGTCTCCAACACGACAACTGGACGAACTCAGTGGGCCTGAATAGAACATCGACATGAGCCCGCCGTCAACAACCGAAACCCAGCTTGTGATACCAATCCTCCAACGCGACCGGGCACCCGGCACAGATGGTTTACACCCCGCGTTCAGCTGTAAAAGCGTTCAGCTGTAGCACCCTTCCGGTGCCTAGCTGCCATGCCACCCGAAGGAAGCACGAGGGTTGGGATACTGCCAGGTTGCCCAAGCCTAAACAGGGGAAGTCGAGTGGCGGAGGTCGGATTCGAACCACGGACCTTCCGGTCAGTAAATTCGCGCTCTAACCACTTGGGCCGTCTCGCCCCCGCACTCTTCAAACAAGGTGACGAGATCCTGGTGAACTGTATGACAACCACACTGCGGAAGATTTGGAACGAAAACGGAATACCAATCAAGTTGGGCCCCACAACCTTCATTCCAGTCTTCGAAAAGGGCGCAAGAAAGTCATGTAGAAATCATCGTGGCATCAGCCTGGAATCCGCCGCATTTGAGGCTAGGATTATTTTGTGCAGGGTGGTCGATTGTCGGGAGAGACCGTTTTATGAAAATCACGCTGGTTTCGCCCTGTTCGAAGATGCGTCGACCATATATTTACCTTGAGACATTCAGAAGAAGCGCTACTCCTTCAGACGTCGGCGTTGGTCGTTTTTCTTGATCTGAAAGCTGCTTTTGCTTCTGTCATTCGTCAGAAATTTTGTCAGTGTCCGGCGACCCTTCCAGCTTTACATCCCTTATGAGGGCTCTGTGTGCGGACTGCTGTGGACGCGTACGAGTATACGACAAGGTTCCACCTGAGTTCAACACCTTTAGTGGTGTAAGACAAGGTTGCCTCCTCTCACTTTTCCTCTTCGACCTTGTTATTGAAGTGCTGCTTGAAATTCCTCTGCCTGCCTCTGAAGCCCTGGAGGTTCGAAATGCTCCCGAACTGTTCCATCACATATATCGAGTATGTGAACGATATCCGTATCGTTCAGTTGTATCACCCAATGTCTTACCGCCACGCATCCAGAAGGAAGCACGAGGGTGGAAATACTGCCAGGTTGCCCAACTTAGGCAGGGGACGTCGAGAGGCAGAGGTGCAGTTCGAACCACGGATCTTCCGGTCAGTGAAATCATGCTCTAACCACTGAGCAATCTCCGATATTGCTCTCCTCGGTTCAGATTCTTCAAAAATACAAACCATTTTAAATAACCTAAATAACCTTGCCGCACAGCTTCTCATGCGCTTCATGCCTGCAAAATGTAAGCTGCTGCTATGAGACTGGAGCAGGATGGCTCAAGTGGTTAGAGCGCGAATTTACTGGCCGGCAGGTCCGGGGCTCGAACCCGACTTCAGCCTTCCGGCTTCCCCTGTATAAGCTTGGGCAACCTGGCAGTATCCCAGCCCTCGTGCCTCTTTCGTGTGGCATAGCAGCTAGGCACCGGAAGCGTGTTGCAGCTGAACGACGATTTCCTGTCATGAAGAGACTAGACCTTACCTTGGTATGAGGGTTTGCACACCTCAGTGATCCGTTGAGCTATACTGGGGAGTGTCCCCGTGACACTCCGTCTCTCATACCAGGTTCACCAATGGTTAGAGGTTTGACGAACATAGTTTGATGGTCCTCCAGATTGGAGTTTAGAACATGTTAGGCGACTTGTTCTGCAACAATTAAAATGCAATTGCATTTACAGCCAAAAATCGCTGTCTTGCTGTTTGGCTTTTGAACCAAACAATTTGGTGGGGGGTCTTAATCGTCCTCCTCTCTAGGCGTGGGTGCCATGGCAGTATCCCACCTCATTTACAACCATGAATTTTCACACACTGCAGGCTTGGGGTGCTAACTATCAAGTTAACATTGCCGCAATCAAAATTTGTCATTTACAGCAAAGTTGAACGTTTGGATCGCAGGGCACAGTACTTCGAACAGCAATTCAGTTGTCTACCTGTCTCCAATCCGGAATTCTTGCCTTTAACAGAAATGCGGACGGTGAATATGGAGCCGCCTTCAGTCTCAAAAGTGTCCGAGTGTATTTCTCTACGTAAGCATAATCGTGCTTCTGGTCCTGACGACCTTCCACCTGCTCTTTTCAGGAATGGTAGTGGTCTTAGCCAGTGCCTGTCTAGCCTATTTGGGTCTATCTGGGAGAAAGAGACCGTCCTAGACAGCTGGGTTTGATCGATAGTGGTGCCCATTTTCAAAAAGGGTACTCACAGTGAATGTAGCAACCACAGAGGTGTTATTTTGACGCGTGTTATGACAAGGCTTCTGGCGTTACTGATTCTTCGTCGTCTTAGGGTGGCACGTAAAGTCTTGACTGGTGAGAATCAAGCGGGTAGAGGCTGCATTGACCACATCTTCACACTCCGTCAGGTGTTAGAGCAACGCCATACGTGCCGACGACCCTCACTCTGGGTATTCCTTGACTTCAAGGGTGCGTTCGATTCTCTAGATCGGTGAGTGCTGTTAACTACACTTGCTTAACAGGACATGCCCCAGAAGTCTGAACATAATCCTATCCCTATATTTACATACTTCTGGGCGGGTGACAGTGTGTGGTGAGCTCTCCAAAAGCTCCCCTACGAAAAGTGGTGTTCAGCCTCATCATTGATGAAGCAACGAGGGAACGCTGGAACCTCTTCACAACCAAGGTGTTTGGATTGCTGCTGGTGAGAGACTTGAGAGACTCTGGAGTACGCAGATGCCATCGCCCTCATCTTTGAAGACCAAAGCGAAGCACAAACCTTTTTGAATCACCTGACCACCGTCATACCATCTTTTGGCATGCGCCTTGCACCTTCAAAGTGCAAATTCATGCCCCAGAACTTGCAGTCTCCGAACATTTCCCTTAAAATTCAAGGAGGATCACTGGAGATTGTGGAAAACTTTACGTACCTCGGTAGTCTCTGACGGAAATGTCTGATGAAGTCATTGCAAGAATCCAAAAGGTTTAGATTTCGTTCGCCAATTTGCGTTCTTTGTGGCATCAAAAAGTATCTCACTAGATCTTAAGGGTCGTGTGTACCAGGCTACAGCAGGGGCTGTGTTGTTGTACCGGTGCGAAATGTGGCCTCTGCGGACTGATGATGTGTGACGTCTTCAGGTTTTTGACCACTGATGCCCCAGGAGGGTAACTGGTTTTGGATGGTGTTAGTGACGAGGTTATTAGAAAACGGGTATTTGGATGTACGACAGGTACTTCAATCGGGGAGAACATCCAGCTTCATCGACTAAAATGACTCGGTTATGTGCTACAAATGCCGAAACACCATCTACTAAGGCAAGTCTTGTTCTCGGTTCTTTCTTCAGAATGGCACAACACGCGAGGTGGATATCGCATGACTTGGCAGAATGGCGTGAAGGAGATCACGAAGAGTTTGGATGTTGTTGTTGTACGCATTCCAAGAAAGGGTTCTCGTGACCCCGTCTGTGCCTGGCTGGTGACGTTGCAAGAAATGGCGGCTAATCGATGTTAGTGGCGTTCGTGCTGTCAGTTTCTTTCCAAATTGTCTCATTGAACACTTGGAGGCGTAGGCACTTCAGACTGCTTGACATAGGCCAGCACTAGGTCCTCTCCCTTACCCACTCTTTTTCTTTTCTTTTTACTCTAGGGCTCCAAATATCATTAGACGAACCTTCTGGTTGTGCGGTAGTGAAATATCAGTGTCAATGATCATGTTGCTGTCTTTGATGATGATGATTCAGAGGCTCACGTGGAGATATCTAGACGACTGAACCTAACGATATCTGTTTCGGATAGAACGATCTGAATTTCTGGAAGTCAAGTTCAAATCACATCCATAGGCGCATCTTGGTCTGTTTTGTCTATACGGTGATGGTCATGGAAGGCCGTTTCTTCACAGGTCCAACTCTCGTAACATTAGAACGTCAACGTGCGTCTTGTGGAATTACCTCCAACGATTTTTCGCCGGTAAACCGCTGTGTTCGCCAGTGACTAATAGCACTCGCGGTGGCCTGCGCAAATCCGACTCGTTTTGTCTTTAATTTTGTTTGTTTTGAAGCACATACTAAACTGCCCTCCAGATAGCTCTGCGGTCGACGCCTGAAAATGCTGTCTGGAAGGTTTATAGTCCGCTGAAACCTAACACTGGCTTTATGATTGCTTTTGGGTAAACTTGCACAAGATCGCAGTATCTCAACCGTCAGTCTCCGAATTGCACGACAGATATTCACAGATAGTGTGCTACAGCTGAATGTTCGTTTTGGCCTCGCTGCGGCTACCGCAAACCTCTCAACTTGGCCCTACGCTTCACACAGCTGTCTGGAATATCAGGAAGCAGGCACTATCCTAGTTGATCCGAAATCTATCACGAAAACGTTTATGCTGAACGGACATCTTTCAAACCGATAGTTGAGCCACAACCTAGCAACGCCATTCACCAAAGTCGTTTTTGTTTACACTCGGAAGACAAAACAACAATAATCGTTCAGCTGTAACACATTTTTGGTGGCTAGCTGTCATACCACCCGAGGGAAACGCTGAAGAGAACCTTTACTACTTTTCCACCATGTGGACTTCTGATAAGCCTAACAAATTTTGGCGGAAAGTCATGCTTCGGAACTACTCGCAAAACTTCGCAGTTGACAGAGTCCAAATCTTTTGTGAAGTCCAAGAAGAGGGCTCCAATCTACATAGCACGGAAGATAGCATGAAAAATGCCCTCCCGCATGTCTTATTCACCTGTCTTCATTCTCATTCTCGTAACGGACGAGCCCCCCTTCTATCTCGTTTTAGTGTCTTCCTCAATTAGGTGTTTGACTATGTTATTCTCCCTTTCATTTCTTCTAGCGCCAGAATGAGTTCTAGTATGTTCGCAGAGGCGTTCAGTTCTTCGGAGAGTGAGTCCGATGAGGAGTCGCCACAGCGCGTGGACAACCGATTCATGCAATATCAGAGTGATGAAGAAGATGAAAAACGTGTCGTAAAGAGTGCAAAAGATAAGCGGTATGTTTGTTCCTACTAATAAGAGTTATGCGACTACAGATTCGAGGAAATGCAAAGTATCATCAAAAACTTGAATAATCACAAGAAGATCAAGGACATGTCAAATGTCCTAACAGGTAGCCGCATGGAAGCTTGTCATGAATATCCATCCCTAGATTTCGAAAATCTGATCAAAGTATATGAAAAATCCGTAAAAATGAATGAAATGGATGGTCTTCCTGCGTTTTATGTGCGCTGCATAGCGGAATTGGAAGATTTCGTTAACGATTCCTGGGAGAAGAAGAAAGACCTTAATCGTGGAGCTGCAAAGGCTCTCACCGCACTTAGACAACGCATAAAAAAATACAATCGTGATTTTGAAGACAACATCAAGGATTTTCGTGAAGTAAGATTTCTCACTTCGGCTTGGTTGATTTTCGGTGAAATTTCAGCATCCAGAAAATTACCAGGAGGAAGAAACTGCTGTTGGTTCAGGTGAGATTTTTACATTCACCTTATGAAGTATTGTTAGACAACGATGATGCAGAAGAGGAAGAAAGGAAAGAACCACAGGCTAAAGTAAGTATCAATACATAGTAACAAATCTTACACACCCTCATGCTTCATTGTCGTCGTGTCGTGTCAGATTGGTCCAAATACTGAATGCTCAAAAGAGATAAGCTGTGTATTTTATACTGTATATCTCAAGTTTGGATGATAGACACTAGTTATTATGCGAACATTAGATTGTGCATAACGCTGTTTGAGCCACCATAGCTTTCAATACATAGACTGATGGACCCGGACACAGCTTAGTGGACCCGTTACGATACCTATGTTATTCACTGTGTGACAACCGTTCCGACCCAAGAAGAAACGTAACCCTATTATTTTGCATTGTCTTGTGTGTCTTCGCAACCCAGCGGACTTTATTGCGAGATTGCTCGTGTGGATCTGCCAGGTCATCCATACTGGCGTGTTCAGTGGGTACAGCTTCCATGAACAGAGTCTCGTAGCGGTCTGTTCCGGACTCGGAACCTGTCTTCGGATCTCCTTACATTTGGATTAGTCTTAAACCAATTACAGCGTTTAGGTTATAGATCTTGTTTGGATTTCCCAATAACCTACTCCTATGTGGCTTGGTGACCTTCCCGCTCACGTGACCCACAATTCACGCGGTCAAAAGTAATCTCTTGTAATCGCAAGTTGTCCTGTGGGATCATCAGTGTGGCGTATAACACGACTAGGCTACCATCGATGCGGCTCCTCTTACTTTGCTGACTGGCTTATTGTCATGGACTCATCCATTGTGTTCGTCGAATGGGTTCGTCCAGCGCTCGCGGGCGCGGTGTCCGCTTGTATGTCAACGGCAACAGCCCTGAGCCTACTATTCAACTCTGCTATCCGTTTCGTTCTTCTGGACGCATATCCTCGCTGGTTTACATCTTAAAGACTTATGATCGTAGTAGGTTTTTACACTTCCAAACTTGTGAATTTGTGTTGGTCTTGAGTATCTCTCCAAAGGGCTTACCATAAAAAGAATTTAAAGATAAGTTGGTTGACTAACAATATATTGGTGCCTAGTGCGCATTATCCGAGGAAAGCACGAGGGCGAGGTACTGCTTCCAAACTTGTGAATTTGTGTTGGTCTTGAGTATCTCTCCAAAGGGCTTACCATAAAAAGAATTTAAAGATAAGTTGGTTGACTAACAATATATTGGTGCCTAGTGCGCATTATCCGAGGAAAGCACGAGGGCTGAGGTACTGCCAGGTCGCCCAAACCTGACAACAGCAGTCCAGTTTCCGGGATTGGTTTTGACCCACGGACCCTCTGGTTAGTACGTCCATGTCTAGACCAGTAAGCTTTCTGGAGCTCAAATACTTTCTTTGGAGAAAAAGGTGCTGTGTTTTTTCTGATTTCAAGATCTTCCGTTTCGTTGCAGCAAAGCAGATGGGATTCACGCTAAGTAAAGCTATGTGGACCTGGAATAGACGAATGCTGCGATTTTCCAAAACGAAGTGGAGGAAGAGTGGGTCTTAGTGTGTTGTTCGAAGTAGCACTGAGTTCATTCTGGTCACAGTGTAACAGGCGAGGTCATTACATATATCTTGAAGCTAGAGATCTTTGTCTCAAGCTCGCGGATGGCGAGATTTACTGCTTACAAATAGTTCAGTTGGCTCACACATATTTTGCGTATAAGGATCCAGAGACTCCCGAACATCACCAAAAACACCAGACCGTGGAAGTTCAAATATCTTTATAACGTCATAAAGACGTGGATGTTAAACCGGCCGAAGCTCACATGATTGCGTACAGTATTGCTGTACTTTCGAACAGGGAGAAGTTTAGTTACAAGAGCCCACAGTACCAACTTTAATATGATACCTCCAAGAAGCTCTAGTGTTTCTTTCTGTGGGTCATGTAATTGGATAGAATTATGCAAAAACCCGGTAATCCATCCGATGCCGTTCAATGTTGTCTAGTAGCATACCCCACAACAACCTATTTTCAACTAATTCCTGGAGAATGATAATTGGGATGAGTCTTGTTCTAAAAGCGCCTGTCCCCATAGCGTTCTTTCTCAGTTGAAAAGAGAGACGGGACAATTCGGCATGTGATTATTTGAACGGCCGTCTACTTGTTTTTGAGTTTGTTGTTTGACCTTCACTAACCTTTATAGGGCTCAGCGACGGCATCATCAGCTGCGGTCGAAAAGAAGGTAACTAAGAAACCCGCGGGATCCGATTCGGACTCGGAGGAATTCGACGAGGAAGGTGATGAAGATGACAGTGACAGTGAAGGCTTTTGGGACAGCGATAGTTCTAGTAGCTCCAGCAGTCTGGACGTCGACCTGGAACGGTTCAAGGATGACCCGTCAGTATTCTTTTTGAAGAAGACAACCGATGAAAAGAAAGTGAGTTTCAAACTGAAATGTTTAGCCGTTTGTTTGAGAACTCTCAGCTCTTTGCATAAGTACTGGTCCAACTTTAACGTTGACTGAAATTTTGAATTTTACCTCTTGAACATTTCGGACATTTTGCTCCGGTACTATCAACGGAACAATTTGGTCCTAACCGTAATTATTGAATCTGTTTACTCAGGCTGGACCGCTCTTTTGTTCTGCTACCATTCCTCAAACGACTTTCTGGTCACGGCTAGAGAATAATGACGTGTAGTAGTAGCCGAAAGAACTATTTGGTGAAAAAGTGTGTAACTAATCGAAGAATGCCTCTTACTTAAATAAGTGCATAGTGAGAGAAAACAGAGACCCGTAGTCCTACGACTTCTTGCTCTATTTGCCTAGGCTTATGGGGTTTACATGCCGCTTGAGGTTTAGCGAGGATTTTTACTATCTTGTCAGACTTCCATCTCATTTTGTGTGCTAAAGAAGACAACCTCTTATCGAGTGCAAAGTAGCTATGTGCCGAAATAGTTTGACATCTGCCGTAAGTTAGTCCTTTATCACTTAACACTAATTCCCGCTTTCGTGTTGACCTGTATTGGAATCCTCTCAACAGGCTCTAGCTTCTTGGTCAACCCCAATATAGACAATCACGTTATGGTTGCTGGAATGCCTTTAAGCGATCTGGTATAAAGTTTTCCCATACTTTTCAGGATAAGTCCAAGATCAAGAAGGCGACAAAAGAAAAGCCAGCAAAGAAGGCTGCCAAAGCCGCTTCACTTTTTGACGAAGAAGGCTGGACTGCTGTGGATTCCATCGGCCGTCCTGAGCCACAAGTACAGGCATTCGAAAAAGGCCAGGAAATCACATACGAGGTTGTTTTGAAGAAGTTGAATGAGATTTTGGCAGTTCGCGGCAGAAAAGGCACCAGCATCAGCGAACAGATTGCCTTGTTGATGCAAGTGGAGGAGAAAATAAGTAAGTAGGACTCATTCCACGATGTCAGCGATCGTGTACCTCGTTTTGATTACCGTACTGAGCGATGTTCGCGTTGACTGTTTCATCATAATGGTCTCAAACTGTACTTATTTTGTCTATTCCTCCACAGGAGGGTAAACCTTCATAGATGTTAAATAAAACGTCATTCTATTTCGTATAAATCGTAGCAACACAAAGGCCTCAGCAATTCTGGGATACTTTGCCTTATTTTGTTCCTAACCTTTGTTGAAAAAAAATTCTCACAAAGTAAAGCTGTGTGAGAGACAGTCCCTGATTTCGTCCACTTTGTCTATGCCTTACAGAAGTCATATCAGTGCGTTTATCTGCGTTTGGTCTCCCCTGAACTATTCTCGATGCTGTTTTACATGAATTTATTCGATACCTCTGGAACTAAAACCTTTGGATGGATTGCTTTACAGAAATAAACTCCTCTTGGTAAAACATAACAAAAGCAGCACTGAGATCTTGGTCTAGGTCCTGTCAAGGTGGCTCGGCTTATGCTGTTTTTCCCAACCTACCCGCATGGTGAATCTGGACAGCCCTTTAACTGGTTTTCCATGTTTACTTTCATTCTCCTATTTACAGGGGAACACAAGTTGTCCGGTGGCCTGCAAATCAAGACCTTGCTGTCGCTGATTAGCGTGTTTTTCGATTACGATAAAACGCACTCTGCTTGCATGTCTGCTGTGCTGTTCGACCGGTGAGTCACGTGTCCTGGTATCTTTTTGCTCAATGGTAGATTAATTCCTAACTGGGTTCGGTTTGCTAAATGGATAGCTCAGGTCAAGATGTTTTGCTTTCGGTCATATTACAATCGGAACAACAAAAGCACATCGCTTCAATTAATTTCCCTTATTTACCACCCAAAATGAGTACATCTGATTGTTCGTATTGAAATATATTGTTGCCCAGTCGTAAATTTTGTCTGGTTCTATGGCACATGCACATTCTCACTCAGAGCGCCTGTACCTTATTTTTCTACTTGTGACAGCCTTATTAGCGCATTCGATCGTCTATTCGATGCTCTCGAACAACATGATGTTAAATTTCTTGGATCTGACATAGACGCGGAAGAACTGGAGTCACTAGAGGTACGTTTCTTGGATCTGTGTCTAAGTTACAACTGGAGCATAAAAAATCTATTGACACTATCAGATACTCTTCGTTTTGGTTTGTACATATAGTAGTAGTCGGAGAAAGATATAATCCAGATGCAATCGTTCCCCTCTGAATAGGCCACCAGAAGGGATGAAACGAAAATGTTTCCTCCTGAAGTACGGTCTCTCGGGAACGACACAACTCTGCGTGAATAGTTACGGTCTGAGTACAATTGGATAAGCTAGGCAAATGAACTAGCCAGTCCCTGGTAGGAGTTCATCAGATAATTGTGGCGGGATCGATTACATGGCGCCTTGAAAAATGGATTTCACTTTTCACCGCGACACCACATAACCGATGGCTGTGCTTGAATAAGAGACCTGCACCGCTTGTAGCCCGTGACACTTTCCTTGTAAGCTAGGGCCAATTGAATTTCTACTGCTCCGCGATCTCATGCGAATATGAACTCGCGATGCCTTGTACCCTATGAATTGACCATTCTTTTTTGAATGCTCCCTCTTCCAAGAAGGAAGCTCTCCATGCGGCAGGCACTTTTTTACTTCTGTGAATGATTTTCGTTGCGAAACTCTTCGTTAAGTTTCTCTCAAATCTTGTTATCGACATACTAATCGAGCAATCGTTAAAATATTTGAACATACTTCGGGGTAGAAATTCTCCCTGTTAGGTCGATTGCAGACACTGCATAAACAAACGGTATAGCTCTGAATGGACAAAACCGTATATAAACTCGTGTGTAGTCACTTACTACGCTGTATGTGCGTTATACCTGGAAAAGCGTTGCTGTAAAGCTAGTCCGGGTGAAACCCAAGCTCCATGCTTGTGGATTCTCTGGTCGCAGTGCCTGACGGTACATTTCACCTGGGTAGTTGTGTCGTCCCCGACAGCCTGGTCGGAACTGTAGCTGAGGCAGACTGCTTTGTCTCTGTTCTCTAAATGTCACCAGGTCGATTTTCCAGAAGATATTTCTTGTTCCACATGAGCTGGGTAGGAGGGCAATCTATCAAATGACAGACAATTGTCAGTGACTTATGAAAATCACAGCCAACTAACTTGACTGGGTTGACATCTGCTGCCCTGTCCCTCATAAGGAATTTGTTATGGAACGGGACACAGGCGGATGTGCTGCAGTCGTGCTTCAAATGGCGTTCCTGCGCCTGCTCAACTTCCTCACCTGCTGCTAACGCTCTCGACCATCATGCGACCACATTATGGATGCCTTCACAGACCAGTTTATTACATTTATTACTTGGCGTCGTTGGGAAAGTTGATACCATCATCACAGTTTTTGAATAACAACAACGAGGGTGATGACGATGATGTCTACCATAGTTAGTTTTCAGTTTTCTTTTTTCACTTCCTATTTATTATGCGCACTAAGACACGTTCCAATCCACAGTCTGATCATGCCCAACTGTTCTGCTCGGTTATTTGTGAGGATTACCTCCTCCGCTTTGTAAACACGTCTTTTACCACAAAACATTACAAATACAGACTCCACCGTATTACGTTCGTGGGTCGGTCCTCACTTCGGTGACGTTGCTGGACGCTGAATGTACGAAAGTGTTACAGAACGCGAATGGCCATGAACTGGAATATGTAGACCGGTAAGTTTTGGGCTCTTAAAGAGTCTTTTGGTTCATAGTATCGCCTTATTGGAATAATTTAATTCATCCTTTCGGTCTAATGTGATGTTGGTTCTTAGGACTGCGTTTTCCAGATATTCACTCATCGTTTGCGGTAAAAGTCTGTAATTTTCTAGGATGACCCCACCACGTCAGCTCCATAGCAAGAGTCTTACTGCCCTGTGCTGATCGTCAACGCAGGTGTCAGTGCGTGAGTAATATCAGCAAACTTGCTACACATGAAACTGAACCTCGACAAAGGACTACTTACGAAACGGCTGTTGATAATAGCTAACTTTATGATTGTGATTTTGGCCCTAGATCTGGAGGTCATAAACTTTTTCAAGCATTTGCTCCACAGTTTTTCGTATCATGCCACGTGTTGGCTGCTCACAACCTGTCTGCAATAAACCGGAGCCCAGATGAGTGTCTGATAATAAGCCGGAATCTGTAGCCTGGCAGACTAATCTGACTGCCTACCAAACCAAGTGTCATAAACCTCTGTTGGCGGTAGGTTCATCGGGAGGAGGTCATAAACTCTTGACGAGAAATGGTCCTGACAGACCGAGCACTGCGGCATCTTTGCGTCTACATGGCTGAGGTTGATGTGATTTTGGTCGTGCGGCACCCTACACGTAACCGGAATCGTGCGCCCAACTTTCTAGGCAAGATCGTTGAGCACACCAGTAATAAAACACTGTCAGGTGTCTTCGTCGCATCATTCCATTAGCACTGCATCGGCATTTCTTCACTTGTTCCAGTACGTATCCGACTATTACGGGACCTACACAGACATTGTTGGATGGGCAGGCAGTCTCATTTGTTTTTTATCCACACTTTCCGTATACTACCACTGTCCATACTCGTTGGTCGGATACTGGTTTGGTACTGGACGCTAACGCACTAACCTATTCCTTATCCACATTTTTCTATGTTAAGTCGGCACTTTTGCAAGGGGCACAAGTGCATTGACCTTGTTTCTTCTATCGCATCAGCCATCTAAGTGCCAAAATGGGTAGGACCACTGAATGGTTCTTGTGCCTCTTGACCCTTTATTTTAATACCGCGCTATCCAGAGAGACCTCTTTACAATCAGTCAGTTGCAGTGAACCGCGCCGTTTAGGAGCGTAGAGTGCTCACGAAATGTTTCATTCCAAGCCAGTTATTGAGTGACACGTGGCAACTTAAAGAAGGCACATGGTGCGATGTTGAGTTGTGCGCATTGGCACTTATGGGACGGTGATATATCGAGCAATAAGAACATCAAGTGCAGCAGACACAAGTACCCGAAGTTCCACCGAGCATTCGAAATTCCAAACAGGGTAAATTGAGGCGAACAGAACAGGAGGGGATATTGTGTTTCTTGGTTGTATATGTAGTTCACCACTACGTTCCGAATGACTGTCATGCTAACGTAGGATTCATCAACTGGAGGTATAAACGCTAATTTCCGCAAAAAAGTGGGGTTAACTTTATTTATCGACATGTATTTTCAAATACACCTAGTTTGTGACTAGATCTCTCCAGGACAGTGTTAGTTTCTAGTAATTACTCCAAGAAAGAGCTAAACCGTTGCCCGTCTGCCGTGGACAATATTTTCGGACATTGGGGACTCCTTTTCGTCTCCTGGAGAAACTAAACAGTTATTAGACACCTGTCCTGAATGTCAACCTGGATTTTAACCATTTCGAAATACGCTGGTGGTTCAACCAACATTGTACGTATCGGACGAGACGGCTCAGTGGTTGGAGCGCGAATTTACTGACCGAAAGGTCCGTGGTTCGAACGCAACCTCTGCCTCTCGACTTCCACTGTCTAGGTTTGGGCAACCTGGCAGTATCCCAGCCCACGTGCTTCCTTCGGGTGGCATGGCAGCTAGGCACCGAAAGGGCGTTACAGCTGCACAATTATTCATTTACTATCGTATTACGTAGCGGACAAATCTGCTGTCGAAGGATACTGCTCATAAGGTTGATAAAAACCTTTCTACAGCCCACCGGCGGTTTTACCTTTCTTTGGGCTTATCAGGTATGCGCAATCCCCGAGTTTCCGTCACCTTATGTTCTGCTTGAACCCAAATTGGATAGACTTTGCCAATTATTCTCATTCGCACACTAATTTACCTTTGACCGGAGACTGGCGTGAATCCCAACTGAATACTCATTTTTTGATATTCTTCAAATGAATGTGCTGCACCGGGCCGTCTCTTATTTCAGTTAGTACGACATTTGAGAGATCACAGTACGTTTTCATGAAGGAAACTACTCATACGTTTGCCGGAAATTCCTCCACAGCCCACCACTCGGTTTCACCCTTCCAGTGACTCATCACGCAGACCTAATGTCTTACTTGAACCCAAATTGCACGAAATTCCTCAAACAAGAACGTAAAGGAAAGAGATACAGCTGATATTCATGCGAATTCGCCGTGAAAACCAAATTTGTATGCAAATGCGTGTACTAGACGAACTTCGGTCGAGGTTTTCCATGGTCCGCGCATTGTTATACTAGCACCAAGACCAGATTTCTTTGGCATAACTTTGTCAACCTGACTGTGGAACCTTGACCGGCGAGTTTGACCTCATAGTTCTTTTGACTGGCCGATTGCACGCCCTAACACCAGAACATTCCAAACTATAAACATTGTTTTTTTTCTTTCGTAAAAATCCTGGATTGCAGCTTGGGGAGCTAGGAGCTTAGCTGTCGAAAAGGTCCCAATCGTTTTTGTCGTTCAGCTGCTGACTATTACGCTGATTCGCATGTAAATATGATGTTCCACAGAGTGAGATTTGTTGGTGTGTCCTGATAGCACTCGTTTGGTCTTCTACTCATATTGGCTGGAAATTTCCATCATCATCGTTATCAGGCGGTACATAACAACTTCGTAGAATATCTTGGGTATGTGGTTCATTAGTTTTGCTTGTGGACCATTTGGGCGGTTCTTATGGTGGTCGTAAGTGAATCAGTCTAGAGTTGTTGGAGTACCTGCAGAAGTGTAAGTTAATCTCTCAGTCAAAGTGTGGAGGATGCCAATGTACCGAGATGGTACGCAATAGGCGTAGAGCCAACAAATGTACGTCCCGCATAATTGTCATATTGTGTACAAAATCACTTCACGAGACACAAAGTTGTTTTTCGAAGAATTTGCGGAATTCCAATGGTCACTGGTCAACATTACCATAACATCTCCAGGAGAATTTTCATAACAGACAATATTCGGTCGCTGCTCACAAAATCCGATTTGTTCGAACACATTCCATCAGGTAACAGTTTCTCAATATTTTGAGGCAGGCCTCTGGACCGGAGTATGAGTGTACAAGAGTTAAATAAAACCACTTTTCAAGCACAAAAGGTTTTTGACAAAATTCCCCAAAGTTTACATCAGTCTACTTTTTTTCTGGCATGTTTATTCCCCACACTGCATCAACGTTCCGTACAGTATGTTTGGATCCGGATGATTCCTTCCTATCAATAATCTTGTTCATTTTATACTTTGCGTGCACGTCGACGAGAATTGTGGTGTTGGAGCCGCAGTTCTCAGTCCTCGAGTCGTTCTATGTTAGATGGCTTGTTTGTTGATTGCGTCTTGTGAGAAATAGGTCGTAGTATATATCCCTATGGCAGTGAATGTTGTATGAATGTCTTCTAACGGGCATCGTCTTAATCATAACAGATACTCACTTTTGTTCTGATCTAAAGTCCCGTGATGTTATAGGTCCTCAGTCGGTGGGCATTAGTTTAAGATATCACTGCTTTGATTCCTTTAACTATAGTAGCAGTAGGAATGCACATCATTCCATCGTTAGTATTTAACGAATCCGGTGTCCTGTAATCAACCTGTCTATTTGTTTAGATTGAAGGATGAACGTCGCATATGCGCTATCATCGATCGATCGTGTACTTATTTGGAGAACATCGAGGCCCCTCCAGCTGATTTGTGCGTGGCCTATTTATTCAAAGTGGAACATATGTACTACAAATTTGACTATGATTGGGGCAAAAGAGTCGAAGCAGAAGGTCTTGATGCGGTCGGAGTGAATGCCTCGACACCAGTGATTGAACGACTTTGTCAGTACATTTACTCGAATGATCGAACCGATCGCCTTCGGACCAGGGCAATCCTCTGTCACATTTATCATCTGGCTCTCTATGACAACTGGTTCAAGGCTCGTGACTTGATGCTCATGTCCAACCTTCAGATGTCCATTGAACATGCAGATCAGTCAACTATGGTAAGCCAGTGTTGAAACGTTTGATTTTTGACATTGATACAAAAAACCACTAACTTTATCTCTCCGTTCTGCCCTTAAACCTCGCTTTTGCAACGTACTCCGTAGGCCTTCAACCAACTCAGTTCCTATTACTCGTGTTCTCCCAGTCGTGACACTAGGGGTGCCACATAACGCCTCTCCATTACTTTACCATTGCCTTGCATCTGTCTCTTGTTGTGAGCTAACGGCCTCACACAACTGTTATTTGAATAGCCTGAATCACTGAACTGTTTTTATTGCTGTACGTCGTGAAACTTATAAGGGTATATCATTTGCGGTGGTGATTACCAGCTCGTTATACATGGTAGTATTGTGCACATTTTCCCTCTCATGTATTCTGCACCCACTTTTTAATTTCATCATTGCTTACAGCGCTTTAATGAGGAATACTTTTAGTGACACTGAATCGCAGCAGAAAACTTGTTATCGGTTTAAGTCATGCGTGCTGATACTCATACCCCCATTGATATACCGTCTGGAAAACATCAAAGCCTATTATGATCTACCTGGCTTGGTGGATCAAATCTTGTTGGTTGGTGTTCGGGATAAAATACGCCCGCTAACTTTTCGCTGAAATTTCACTGGGAGTGTCACTCGGTATAGCAGAGAATTACGGAGTGGTTTTCGAAAAGATATCTCGGAAGCAAGGCTCACAAGCAGAACTTCCGCAAAGATCGGACCACACCGGTTGTAAGGTTGGAAGACTGAAGATGTATGTGGTTCGAGTTTTGGAGCACGAATTCGAGGTTGAATAAAGTGGATAGCTTACCGGAGATGAAAGACCTTGATGGGCGTTCCTGGTGCTTAGTTTAGTGCAAATTATCTAATGCAATGGGGTAAGTGTAAAAGGAAGATGAGAGGAGTGTTAACGCGAAAAGTTGGGAAGGTATTTCGGCTCGATTACCTGTACACGGTTCCCGCAGTTTCGACTGTCGGTAAGTATCCGTCGGAGATAGGAGTCGAATGATTACCGCAAGCAGTCCCACTCAGCCGGTGAGTAGCGCCGAAGAAAGACAATGAGACGGAATTGGCGATTGGTACGTGAACGAGTAAACAAGCAGTTGTAGACATTCAAGTGTTGGAAGATTGGTAGTTCGGCAGTGACGATGTGTTCGAAGTTGACCTGCAGAGGAGAAACCTGAGAAGTGTCATTGTTCTTGAGTGACTGATGTACTCATCAGAAATATTTGTTAACTTGAAGAACATTTTCAGGTTACCAAAGGGTCCGTTACAAAAATTTGCATTCAGTAAGCCCACATACGAACATCTTTTGAAAACTGACTTCATGTTGTCGAAAAAACTGCGACACACCTTAACGAACCTAGCTACATGGATTTGCTCTGATGACGTATTAGAAGCTCAACTGAAGAACATCGCTGATGTGTAATGGTTATCTGTTCAAATTCCCAATCAAGAATGCGTCTTCAGGACTTTTCGAACAGATGTTAACGACGGTTGAGAAGACTCCAGTCTATTAGGATCTAACATAAAATAGAGCAAGATAGCTCAGTGGTTGGAACGCGAATTACTTACCGGAAGATTTGTGGTTTGAACCTGACCGCTGCATCTCGACTTTCCCTGGGCGACTATAAAATAGAGCAAGATAGCTCAGTGGTTGGAACGCGAATTACTTACCGGAAGATTTGTGGTTTGAACCTGACCGCTGCATCTCGACTTTCTCTGGGCGACTTAGTAGTATCCCAGCCTTCGTGCTTCCTTCAAGTGGTATGGCAGCTACGTACCGAAAGGGTGCTAAGGCTGAACGATGGTTGTGTATTCTTTTTTTGTTATTGTAACACACAATAGATTGAGCGTATAACGTGACAACTTGGCAAGAGGATACTCAAGCACCTGTCGTGTCGCAATAGCCCTAGGCGAGAAATTACTGATCGGAAGGTCCATGATTCTAATCCGACGCAGGCATCTCATCTGCTCCTGTTTAAGTTCGGGTAACTCGACTGTATAGTATGGCAGCTACGTACCGAAAGGGTGCTAAGGCTGAACGATGGTTGTGTATTCTTTTTTTGTTATTGTAACACACAATAGATTGAGCGTATAACGTAACAACTTGGCAAGAGGATACTCAAGCACCTCATCATCATCATCATCATCTCAGCCCTCGTGTTTCCCTCGGGTGGTATGACAGTTAAGGACCGAAAGGATGTTACAGGTAAGCGGCGATTGACTAGTACCACCAAAAGTTCGATCGCGTAACACATCGTTAAGACTTGTCACATGATCAGACCAAGTAAGTCGTCTCAAATCATCTACAAAGTGTCCTGTTGGTTGCCAATATCTATCTGAAGCCTTGTTTTACAACAGGTGGAACAGTTGTAATACGGCTGCGTGACCCGGCACTATACTTTCAAAGGCGATCCTTACGAACCGCGAACTTGCCTTCACCGTGTGACATGCCAACAGACTCATTTACTCAACAGATCTTTAGAGCAGGCCTTGTCCAATTATATGAGATTTACGGTCAAGTGTTCAAACTAATAACCAGGAGATTGCTGGTTCGAGATTCTCTGGAAATTCGAGAGCTACGCACCACTAATGGTTCCCAATAAGGATAGAATAGCTGTACGGCGCTTTTCGGCTTTTCAGCATAGATTGGGTTCACTTACAGGCGAAATCTACATTAAGATGAGATCTTATTTTCCAATCTTTACAGTTGTGTTTTCTTCCTCATCCGGCCGATATGAACTACTCATTTTGACCATCATCATTTTTACCACTGGATATGGGCTGACCTGACGACGCGATACCGAAGCATCAATGTTAGCCATTTTGTGTTCATGATAACGCTGTGGGATTATTCGCTATGTTTAGACACACCTCTTTAATATAAAGGAGAGCAGTGATTCAAAAAAGCAGTCATCACACTGGAGATGAATGCGGTAACTGTTGCTCACAAGTGGGCAATAGACCGACTGCTTCGAAAGAGAATAGGTATTGATGGACAAAGCAAATACAACTGTTTTAATCAGGAATGTCACGCAACAACGAATTTCGGAAAAACAGTCTCTTTAGCGAAACACAATTGTGAATTAGTTTGGCATTGACGGAAAACCGTGTCCCAGCTGCATGACCTTGACGGTATACTCAGTTGGGATTCACCTTAGTCCTGTCAGCACCAAATTATTTTGCAAATGAGTGTATTTCGCCAGCCCCTTAACATTTGGTGTCTAGGTAAAACATAATTTTGACGGAAACTTGGGAACTATGTCCACTTGGTGAAGGTAAAACCTGTGGTTGAGTGTCTAATTGAGTAGAGCATTGTTCCTTTGAACGGTGCGAAACAGGTATCCCGGCCTAGGGTACTGAATTAGCGAAGCACTTAAGGCTTACATAGGTGAGATGATGGTACATCTCCGGATTGTACTGTGAGCCAGCCACCATATGCCAAGATTTAAAAACGAAACTAGAGTGATCCGTTGTTCGGGGCATCCATCATCAACGTCAAAATTCACAAGTACTGAGGGTAACGGTATGGGTATTTCACTAGCAATTAACAAACTGTGAGATAATCACGTCCAAAGGTTCCCAACGCAACTTTGGAGGATACATGCATTGGTTCAGTGGTAGTAATTATTTCCATTCCTTTGACACTTTACGCCTTCTATAATTGCCCAGATGCCTATTGGTTCAAGATAATTCCCTTTGATCGTCTGAACGTTCTATGTACATCGTCTAGACTTTGGAAGCTAAAGAGCATCACTCATTCTATCCTAGATTCTGTACAATCGAGCCTTGGTTCAACTCGGTTTAGCAGCTTTCCGTCAAGGTTTTATCCGCGAGACGCACAACGCACTGGCAGACCTCGTGGGTTCAGGAAGAATCAGAGAACTACTTGCCCAAGGCCTTCATACACAGACACGCTACGAACGCACTCCTGAGGAAGAGAAACGCGAACAAGCCTTACAAGTTCCCTATCATATGTACATAAACACAGAGCTGTTGGAATGCGTGTACCACGTGTCGGCGATGTTGCTGGAAATCCCCAATCTGGCAGGTTAGTTCCTAAATCCTAGTGTCCCTAGCGGTCGTCATTTGCCTCTTCGTGAATAAGTTGTTGAATCCCTAACATTAGCGAAAACAGCGCCCTTAGGATTATGTTGCCCTCCTACTGGTCTATCCCAGTCTTACAATGCTAACCACTATGCACTTTTCTGGATTGGTATTCTTTGCCCCAGGTGTTCTTTGAAGCAGATGAATATCAATTGCCTGGATACATCACTTGCCTTCTGCACCCTGTTCTTTAGCCCATGAAACTGACTTGCGGTGGCGTCCAATCAGCAAACCCTTCCACTTAGCCCTACGTGTTCACGATCGCGCTACACTTGTTGGTCCTCCCGAAACCCCTCGTGATCACGTTTTGGCCGCCGCCAAAGCCATGCGTTACGGAAATTGGAAGGCATGCACACAACATATTATCAACCCGAAGATGGATGCGAAGGTAACGTTTACTATCCTGGTTTCTGTCGCTTATTTGAAAAAACACAGTAGTTTTGGCGGTCATCAGAGAACTCTGAACCTTGACGAAGTCGGCTGTTAAATGCCACATCACTAATGAATTTTCATGTAGCATACGCTTAAGCTGAATCAAACTGTATTCAGACCTTTTGGTTGCGTCTGTTGAACTGGTAGGTAGTTGATACCGTCTTGTGAACTACCTCGTCCATTCTATACTAAGCATATGTGGTTTACCACTCAATCTCCAGGATTTTGTTTGCGCGTCTCTGGAGGCTGACTGTTGATAACGTTCTGGTCTTTGTAGGTCATTCTCGAGCGGGGATGGAGAATTACACTAGTTAATGACATTATCAAGTCTTCATATCGGTACATGTCAGTTTCAGGTATATTCTTAACTGAACGGCAGGTTTAGAAACAGGTTTTTATTCCCTACGGTCGTCATTGGAGAGCCCAGTGGTCTTTGTTTAAGGTTGTGCTTGATTAACCCTTAAGAATAGCCGTTAAACCACTTGTACAGCATAATTTGAGATAATGAATTATGGCGGCCACATTCAACGTTTTCTCTGCTAAATTTATACTCCAGCTGTACGCACATGTGCCATACAGGTACAAGTCAAAGCGTTTGTCCTCCAGGAGAAAGCGAAATTTATGCCGGTCCCGAGAATGCGCTTGTTTCGGAGATACTATGTCTCCCCTACTGCTCTATTAGAAATTGTCTAACTCGGACGGATTGTTTGATTGTGAATAGTCCATTCTTTGATGTCGGAAACTTTGTCTATGAATCGTGTGTTGGAGCTCCTGAAAACTGATCTAAATGGTTGTCTCTAATTGATACATTTGAGTCAGTAAACGTGAACTGTTTTCTACAACGGCAGTGGTTGATGATTGCAGGGGAACACTAATTCATATAAAATTGTTAACGAATGAAGTCAAAAGGGACCCATCAAGCTACAGTATAAACCATTGTAACCGTGCCCATCTTTTCAGTAACGAATGTTCTAAGGATGCTTTCAGGTGTAACATTTTTCCCAGTTGGTCAACTATAAATAGGGGCCTTCTGTTCAACTTTTCTCCATCTCACAGTTAGCTCATTGGTTCTTAATCTGTCTAAGCTGACCGAAATCGTCCCATCCTTCGACCTGCACTTTGCATCCACAAAGTGTAAGGTCATGCTCCTGAACATAACTCTTGCAACTCATGGAGAAGCACTCGAGGTTGTAGAGCGTTTTACGTATCTTAGAAGTTGTCTTAGTTCCGACTATTGTGTGGTAAATGAGGTCGATGAACGAATCTGCAATGCTCGGTTAATGTTTATTAGTTTGAGATGCTTATGGCGTAAGGTGGTATATCCATGAATCTACCGGGCAGTTTTTTCGTGTGGCTGTGAGACTTAACTTGTTTGAGCAGCGAAACTGCGGCGTCTTTATGTCTTCGACAGTCGCTGCCTCAAGAACATGGCTCGTGTAGGTTGGTGTCGGAGAATCCGTAAAGAGGCAATTAGAAATAGTTTTCAGTTGTGCGACGGGAACTTCCATCAAAAACTGTCTTCAGCACCAGAAGCTGCTTTAGTTAGGCCATGAATTGCGCATGCCGAACCATCGTTTGCCGATGATAGTGCCCAATTCAGAGTGGCGGAACAGAGAGGTGGCCAATCCTTGACCTGGAAGAGGAGTATGAAAGGAATCGCGGAACGTTTAGGTGCTGGCGGTGCTATTCGCCTTCCAGGATAAGGTCGGGGTGATCCCCACTGCGCCTGGTTGGAGACGCTGCAAGATATGGCTTCTAATCGATGTCACTGGCATTCTTGTTGCCAGTGTTTAACCAGATCGCCTGAATGAGTGCCTGAAGTTGTAAGTACCTTGGAATGATTGTAGTAAGCTAGCACCAAGCCCCTTCCCCGCCCACTTTTATTCTTTCCTTCACAATAAGGTTTTCAAATAAATGGCAGCGAAAAGTCAGTATTGAACACTGACTTCATGCTTTCGGTAAGATGGTGTTGCCCATCATGAGGTTTTGTCTTTGGCCAGTCCTCTGAATAAATGACTAAGGCTAATTTCGATATGAACCTGTTGCCTATCTGTGTTAGCCCCACTACGTGGTCTTCTCGCTGCCTTATGTGGTCGAGCACACTGGGCGAGGCTTTTCTGCTCCTCATCCGTGAATAACTCTGAGAATTGCATCACCCTTGAGCGTTACGAGAGTTCACACGGTTGAATATTCTTCCGCATAAGTGTCTTGCCGTAGCATCTTTCATTTACAGACAGTTTGTTCTCTTGTTTTATCCCTATTCGCAGATCTGGGACAGCTTCTTCCATTCTACTCGCGTCAAAGCATTGTTAGAAACGAAAATTAAAGAAGAGTCGCTCCGCAGTTTTCTGTTCACTTACAGTGCAATCCACGATTCCATCAGCCTCGACCGATTGGCCCAATACTTTGAGCTACCAAAATCCCAGGTCTATTCCATCATTAGCAAGATGATCATCAATCAAGAACTGGCAGTGAGTCTTGGGTTGCTTTTCCTGACCAGTAATCACCGGTCTAGTTAGCTAATACACTGCGGTTTCTAATTGTCTGCCCAGTCAACCCTATCAACCACGAAACTCTAGCCTGTCTTCGTGTATGCTGAAAGCAGTGTCTTATGGTGTTCTTCCATTCCCCATTTTTCTTTGTATTTAACCACAGAACATTCGATAAAAGCTGCATAGAACGTTGAGCGTTGAATACCATAGTGTCTACTTTCGAGCGATGGCTTTTCGTTGTTTTCAAAATCAGTGGAATCTCATCACTGGCCATGGGTTTATTTATTTTGTTTTACTAAACCTTCAATCACGTTTGCACTTCCAGCTGTTTTGCTTTCTTAGTCCTGGAACAGTGTAGATTGTTTTTCCTTTTACGCTTAAATTGGCAGGCTTTCACTAAATTGTTGCAATCCATGTTGTGTGTGGCATCCCAGCTTATCTATATAGTTTCTTAACAGATGTATTTACATGACTAGCTGGTACGTTGCGTATGTTGCAGGCTGTCTTGCGTTTGAGGTCTAGCTTTCCGTTGGCTAATCCAACTTAGTACTGAGTCATTCCTAGATTCCTCTCCTGACAACTTCCAACAAACGTCTTGACATGAAAAAATGTCCCCATCACCAAATTCATATTGTTTCTTGGGTCGTATGGAGACATCCAGTCGTATGGTTTGACGCGATGATCCCTGTACCAGTCTTCAGAAGAATTACTGTCATTGCATTACTACTGACAACATGCGTCTTACACAGAGACACCCTTCCTTATTGGATACAGATTTTTATAGTTTATCCCATCTGTGTGAATTACCTTACTGAACAAAGTGGCCGACTAACTAAAAGCATCCTATTTGATCAACCTATTGTTCTGAAGCCGTCAAATAAATAGTAATAATCGTCCAGCTGTAACGCCCGTTCAGTGCCTGGCCCCGAGGGAAGCACGAGGGCTAACATACTGCCAAGTTGCTCGAACCTAGACAGGAGTAGTCAGGATGCAGAATTTAGGTTTGAACCAAATCCCTTCCTTTCAGTAAATTGACGCCTTAACCACTGACCTATCTCGAGCCCAGTGGTTATTACTGGGTAATACAGGTTTCTTTGGAGAGAGTAGTGCACAATACATCCTTTTTCTCCATTGTTCTTCATTCGAACAATGCGTGGTCATGAACAGTAATCGGCCGACCAACCTAGTTAACTTAACTATGGTTCTCTCTAGCTTATTCGTTGCGTTTACAACCTTCTTGTTTGATCAACGTTGGCTCATTTTTGTCGATATTTGTAGGCCTCTTTGGAAGTGCCCAGCGATTTCCTGATCATGCACAAAACAGAACGCTCGCGACTGCAAACACTCGCACTTCAGTTGAGTGACAAAATTAACAGCGTTGTGGACATGAACGAAAAATTGATTGAGAGTCGTGGTGGTGGTGGTCTTCTTGGATCAAAAAGTAAGTCTTTTGCTTGCCTATCCTGCCTCCTTATCTGAGTGACTGTAAAGAGACGGTCACCCACATGGTGTCAGCTGCTGCGAATTAAGCTGCAGTGCGACACAGATGTCGCACGTGTACTGTATGATGTTTTCTGCCATCGCATTGGTCTCCATGTCCTTACGAACTTCCACCAATTTTTGCATATCTGTGCAATATCTTAACTTAGGACCTTCCTACTTAAGATGGGTTGTCAAAGGCTATACTGGCCAAGAGGCTTTAGGCGCATGTCCAAATACTCTCCTGGTGTAGTAACGGTAATTTCCTCAGCTTAGTTCTCGGTCTGAGCCTCCCAAGCTAGCGTTCACGTCAAAACAACCACCAAAGGTGCACAAGGTCTATTAATGCCGAAGACGAAGTCAAGAACAGTTGTACAGCGCTTCGTATATATAGCGTAAGCGGTTATAACTTTCTGGAAGTTCTGACGCGTTCTGGATGCGCCATTGGCGACCGGTATTTGGCCAATACTGGGTCATGATTGGCTGTTGGGTCCAGATTGTTGACAAATCAGATCTCGTCTTGATGCCGGACCGGCAAGCGTCCCGAATTCTGGGCCAACCTCGTGCGGGCCAGGCTTATCGGCCGTAGTAGCGCCCAAAGACGTGCGGTATAGCGGGATCCGTGTGGATTCCCGCCTAACACCTGGAAAGTGAACAAACCTCTCATTTCTGGTTAGATTGGTGCGGCACCACGTTTTCGTGCCTTCAAGAAATTCTTCATCTAACTTTTGGCCTAACTTCCTGCTTTCCGCCGTTAGACGCCCTCCAAATGTTCACGATAATGTTCATGTCCTGCCTACGAGCCTGTTAGTGCTCTGGCTGTAACGTAATCAATTTGCTCATCAGAAGGTGACAAGCACCAACGATTGTCTACAATCGTCCATCGTTGAAAACATCATTTCCCCATGGACTGACCTCTTCCCCGAGGTCAATTTCCGTAGATTCTTCCGGCTGGTCCCTCTACGTAGGGGAAACACCATCATTATTCATGTCACTAGTAGTTTGTCGCTCATTCTGCGTTCATTGACTTAATATCGGTCAAAGAAAACTGCTCTCAGCAGTCCATTATCCCTTCCGGCAAACATAATGCACGTTAAACTTTTCCGTTCTATGTTTCCCAGTCCAGTTAGTTTAGCAACGAAAATGTTCGCCTTGCACCTGTCCAGCATCTCCAACTAGCTGGACTTAGTGAGTTTACCGAGTGAGGATTTCAATCACTATGTAGGAGTGGATCCGTCGCTTAGCTGGGTTTTCCTTTGTGGGACCATTTGAAGCTCAAGAGTATGCGGCACCGCGCATTCTGACACCACTTTTTGTGTCCAGTAACGGACAAGGAACGATTGCATCAGTGATACATTTACGTGGCGGTTTCTGTTCTACCTAGTTAGTAATCGATAGAATTATGGATTTACCAATGATCGCTCACGTTCGGACGCCACAAATAATCGTTGTACACGAGTGAAGATTTGGACTTTAGGAAGTGGAACTTTAGGAAGAATGTACACAAATAACTCCGTTGTTGGATAAATTTAAAAAACCAACACCGGCGGCTCTGGTCAACACGCAACAGTCGAACTATTGAGGATGGTTAGTCTATAGTTAACATCATCTCGTCGTGCTCCAAACCTTGACCAACCACGTTCAGCTCGTATGTCTCCATTCCTTACTTGGTTGATCGATAATCTAAGTGGTCCTAAGGAATGCCGTCTTTCTTGTCTAGGCTTTCTACTGGCCTCATATCTGCTTATCAACATTAATATTTTATAGTAAATGATAGTATTGGGCTTCGAACCGCTCCACCATAAAGGTTTCCCAGCAGAAATTATACGTAAATTCTAAACGTTTTCGTGGAGCCCGTCTCTCAACGAGAGGCTTTTAAGCTACTGGGGAACATATCCGTTTTGACTTCTGTTCTTGCAATTTGTCCTTCGCATTCAACTCAGATGTCGTAACTCATATAAACCATTACTTTCCACAGGTTCTCAGGCATATCAAGGACGTAAGTCAACTGCTTCTTCCCAATTTTACTCAGAACATGCTCGTTTCAGTTTTTAGAAAAGTTGAAGTTCCGTTTGTTTTACGTCTTCAGTGTTGGTGGTTTGATAGCCTAAATTTGAATAAATTTAGCTGACATCAGACACTTGACGAAGCTTGCGCTTTTGATTGTTGTGAACGTGCACTCTTCCACACCCTAATTCTCCGAAATGTTCCAGCACACTAGCATGCCTGCTGGTAGATGACCCTATCAGTGTTTTCATTTGAGTCAAACGGTAAATTTGACATTTAGTGTCTCACTTTTACCCTGATTCTACTCCCTCAACCCGTAGGACGCACATTTGCGCTATCCGGCGCAATGAATCGTTTCTGAAGGTATGTGATGCCATACATTTTGTCCGTTCACTCGGGTCAGGGTCGTTGCGTCACCACCGCGGCACACATCACACATTCATTTCCGGTGGCCGTTTGTTTTCTCGCACAGCAGTGTGCCTTGTGCCCCCGGTCGTCCTTTTTATATTTGTGTCATACATAACCTCTTACGCGTGCGTTTGTGTGTGAAGGATGTTTCCGTTCTTTTTACCTCGTCACCCATTATATAGCATCACTTTTGTGTAGACCTATTGAAGAAGTTGCGTCCACTCACTAGGCATACCAACTAATTTGGGATTGATCATTGCAAATGAGTGTTGCAACTTTCCCATGTTTCCTTGTTTTTTTTATGATGACATGCTCTTCTCGTGCGTTCATTCATGCTCTTAGTCTTCTATGTGACATACCTTTTCGCCCATTTGCCCAACAGCCATTGACTCCAGGCAATGTTGTTTTCCTTTTTCAATACTGATTTTGCAAGTGATTCAGCTCCTTTTTGGCATTCACTGGTATCCCCCAATTATTCAGTAGCTCTTCGCTGCGTGTGGTAACTTCACGCAATCAACTTTTTATTTTAATAGAGATTTCACTGTGCAAGTGAAAGCCGGGAAGCACGGTATAGCTCTTCCATCCTTGTTGGCACATTAGTATTTGGGATGATTCAAACCCACAAACTCTAAGCTACTAGTTGAAGGCTATGTGCCAAGTTAATCACACTGCCGGTCAGTCACTCGTGGTCAAATGATATAGTACTCAACTAGTAGCCGGAAGGTTGCGGGTTCGAATCTGTCTACAGCTTTGTGGGCTGCCTACCAACTAGGACGAAACAGCTGTGTGGTTCTTGGCTACTCGTCATTGCTTAACTTTACTTACGGGATGAACTATCTATCGAAATTTCGAAATCTTATACTTTCATCATTCATAGAATGTAGGTCATCCCAACTAGTTAACCTTAGGACAACCGCGAGGTCGAAAATGAGTACATTTCAAACTACCCCGGCCTCTATTCTCTTTGAGGTGCCCTATTGTTTCTCCAAGATCTTGTAGCCCATAACAAATAATGATGCTACGACTGTACTGGCAAAATCCAACACCATCCTAGCTGTTGTAGTTTCTCCCATCTGCGTAGCACGTCTCAAATGATTTCATGCCCGTCCACTAATGGATACACCTGATCTCCGACCAATGTTGACCTTGTTGTTTTTTCGGGGACCCAAGGTGGGAGGGAGTGCTAGCTGGGATTTTTATACCAAGAGTTGTTTAACTTTCAAATCAGAAGAATACGTTTTAGCGTAATTACTCGATGAATTTTGAACCAACAGACCATTCATAATGAATTAAGTCTTGCTACATAAGCCGAAACGATCACATGGAAAGTTACTTAGGTTGCCAGAACAAAACTATTGAAATCTGTCACTTGTTTAAGAGAGACGTTTTCGCGTCTTGGTAATTCCAACCCATTTTGGCAGACAAAATGCGAGAATGTCTCTCAACGGTGTATTAAGTATTACGTTCCTTCAGCTGTAACACCCTTTCGGTGCCTAACTGCCATGTCACACGAAAGAGGCACGATGACTGGGATACTGCCAGGTTGCCCAAGCCTAGAGGGGAAGTCGAGCGGCAGAGGTATTACACTGTAGAGTGGGATCGCCACAAGTCGTATCCGATTTGAGCATCACCAACTTCTTGATGAGTTATTGTGTTTTCAGGTAAACAAAACGGATTTTTCGTTAGTTGATTGTTGCAGATATCCTCCACACCCTCGTAAGCCAGTGGTTAGCTCATGCTGAGCGCGAGTTACCATTTGGAGCATTGTTTCCTCGGCCTTTTGTCTTCTTTTTTTTCTGAGCGGGTGACTGAATGATACACTAGCGCTTGTTATGCTCTGAAGCAATTTTGCCGGTACTGTGCACGAGTCACTTCACGCCGGCGTTTCCCGTTTTCTTGATTACCCGGTAATGAACTATGTACCGATTCTGACTGGACACTCATGTAACTATACTCTCCATTCGTTCAATCAAGCCAAATTGCTCATCTCTGGCACGCTTTCGATGCATGGCTGTCACATAACTTGAAGGGAGCATGAGAATGAGAATGCTGCTAGACTGCAGTATTCTAACATTTCACATTAGAACATGTCTGCTGCCGAAAACCACCCTTACTTATAGTCTGTCTGTTTCCCTTCTCGAACTCTACACCATTACTTTCTAGCTATACCGGGTCCCGGCTAAGGAGGATTCGTTAAGGAAAGGTCAGAAAGTCAAATAAATAGGGTTGCGCCTAAATATGAAAGTTCGGAAGCGCTTCATCGTCGTCATTGTCAGCGAAGCTATTGCTTCACCGCCATACATCCATGAAAGTTTTAAGGTCGTGCATCATCCTCCCGGTTCACTTTTGTGGCACAGGGTCAATAGGGTAAGACGGTCAATGCGATCCGATTGGATACTCGTTGTGGTGTAGTACAATAAGAGGCAACACCGTTTAAGCGTGCAGTAAACGTGCTTTCTCAACAGTTGCAAGATTCTCGCGAATGCATCGGTGATCAGTGATGCTTCCTGAGCATAGTTTTAGTATATCCCACCTTTTGCGATTAACTGAACATCCATCCCTTTCAAAAAATTGAAAACCCGGTTTTCGTTTCCTGCATCAGGTCAACTAGGATTGAGATTGAGGTAGTGTAGACAACCATGCGGCTGTATTGGTGAGTGTTGTTGTGGGGTTGGCTGTTGTGTAGATGTGCGACCGGGCACCTGCATGTAATCGTTCCATGACTTAGCTGAGGGGATTTTTTGTGGGGATGTCGGCACATCCGTCCCAAATCTGAAATGGAAACCTAAATGATGGATAAAAAGAATGCCTTTGTGAAGCCTTCATATGCTATATCGGTATACCATTGAGGGGAATTTTCTAAACTGCGTGATCATGCTTTGAGCAAAAGTGCACCGGATGCTTGGTGAGAATTTATAGACTATTGATGGTTGTTCAGACCCTCCGAGGATTTGGACAGTCATAAACGACGCTGACGCTCTGACTCAACCCGAGCTAAATTCACGAAGGAATGAAGCGCATAGAGCAACATGCTTTCTGTATTCGTGTTAAAAGATTATATTACATTTCACCGAACACCGGGTTTCGGGAAGGCGGCATCACAGTGCTCCGTCCGTCCTACAGTATATTTTGCCGTAACCAACAGCTGTCTGTTAAAAATGGAAACAAAAACACCGAACCTAAGGTGATTGACACCGTCATGCGCACATAAGTGTCGAGTTGGATCTGTGCTGTACACTTCAGCTGCCTGACTTTGTCGTCGTTCGTATTTCGGAACATTGGTTGGCTCGCAGTGCGGACCCTGGTAAAAATGTACGGTGTAATATGGTATTGCTTGTGCTTCCTACACAGCCTCACCGTAAATGGGGCGAAAGCCTAAAAGCGAAAAGACCTGATCAGACTTCTCCCAGAGACTTAAATATCCGTGTATTTCTTCGGAATCATACTACCCGTTCTGGATACCCTTCAGGCGTGCTATAATTCTATCGCTTGTAAAGTTACTGTCTATGCTCTCAGGGATTCATTTGCCTTTTCACAGTTGAATTTTCGGTAGTGAGGAGTCAGGCTCAATTTCATTTCAATTCAACTGCTATAATCCGTGTACCATAGGCACTTTGGTTCCTAGCTGCTACAGTTTCGCCAGAAAACGCTCAATTTCATTTCAATTCAACTGCTATAATCCGTGTACCATAGGCACTTTGGTTCCTAGCTGCTACAGTTTCGATCACCAGAAAACGGGAGAGTATGTGACATGCAGCCAAGTCTTGAAGGCTACTTAGGGAAATATGAAAAATAGCTTTATAGGGGTTTTGTACACTTCGATAACTACAGAATTTCTTATTTTTATATCCAATTTCCTAAAATTTATGTACCTTCATAGGCCAGAGGTTGTTTTAGTACTGTATCTAGAATGGTAACCGTACAGACCAGATTAAGCCATCCAATTCAATCTCTATGCTTTTCTTATTAAGGCCTTATTGTAATTAATTGATGTTCCCGCTCCAGTGCCTTATTGTAGGAAAGTCTCATCAACACAAAATACACAACAGCTTTATTGCAAACAAGTGAGTGCAAAAATTGCAGGGGGTATCACGGTGTTTAAAGCGTACTTTTGAACTGCAATCCAAGCTGTCCGACCAGCGTTGGGCCAGGAGTCATCGTTGTCTGCCGTTGCTGATTTAATTAAATGCTTGAACGTCCAATCAGCTGCTGACTTTTCTGGCCCAGATGTTTGACGGCTTCCCTACCGTGTTACTGGTTGAGTTTGAGCATCTCAATTGGTTGCGGGCATTCTGGGCTTATTTTCAGGAATATGACCTTCCTCACCGGCTTCGTAATGTTCCTCCGCAAAATTCTTCAGCCGACCCGACACGTCCCCAAAAGAGATATGAAAACAACTCGGTTTTGTGGTTTAAATTCTCCAAATGGATTTTAACTGTAATGTGCCACTTGAATCGCTATGCACCCCATCTCCTCCCCATTACGTCCTGCTTTCACATCAAGTCATCTCTAATCCCTTCTGGATACAGTTCAGGTTTGCTATCAATCCGTTCTAAGAATTCTTTCTCAAGAAAATACATAGGACGGAGATCTAAAGATCTGGCAAAAGGGTTCGCTAGACTTTTTTCTCATTATTTCCTTTTCATAATCATCCATGAAGTCACAGCTGTCTCCGAAAGCTTTTCTGAAAGCGTATTTTTAGAGTTGCGACCGTACTGTTGCCCGATGATTGTATTTGAGCAAGATGCTCGGTGGCGTAACGGGGACAGTAAGCGACTGAGACTGGTCCCCGGGACTATCTTTATCCCCTCCGGAAACTGGGTGAGGGGCTTGAGTTTGCCCACTGGTTCTCCTATCTCTGATAGAAGTCTATGCATGCACTGTCAGGGCACGAGCAGCGCTTGGCGACTTGTCATTTATAGCATCAAGGTAGAACTTCATTGAAGTTTTTAACGGGTCCAATCGTTTAATCGTCGATGTTAGGTAGCTCTCCATGCTGCGATCCCATGCCGATCTAATTTGTAAGTGCGTCTATCTTATTGATATTCCAAGGTGTAGGCACCTGTTGCTAATCATTCTCCATAGGGACATAAGGCTGTCTATGCCCACCCCACCCTCTCTTTCTCCACTCTTCACTAGAGCAGTCTCCGCATGATCATATGGCAATTAGATGCCAGTCGATGATGATTATATCCGAATGACAACGGACATACTTTCCAGTCTCTTCTGGCGCTCAGACATGTTCTCTTTATTGATGTTTCCCACTTAAGCCATTATTCGACCCCACTGGGGACCACTCTACGAAAAACGGCACCCCCTCTCAATCGCAATCTTTCGCCTCGGTTGTTTGGGTATAAAATACTGACATTTTTAATCCAAGCCGTTCTTATGGTGTGCGATTTCCCCTCGGCAAAAAGGACGGAACACCAGTGCCGTTTCGTCTAAGTTGAGAACATATTCTGTCGGATAGTCTAGACGGACGTCGGCTGTTTTATGCCATTCAAATGCGACATGAAGTTGGAGAGCTTTTTATGCGGCTCCTGTCTATATTTCTACGCGTTTTTCTCGGTCCCAACCGTTATTCATCCACAAAAGAAACTTCCACTTTGATTACCGATGTACTTTTTATTCTCGCTATCATGCTGATTCAGTTTTCATCTGCTCACGTATGTCCAAGCTTCCGTAAAGCTCTTACTTCTCAGCGTCACTTGACGTATTCGACATCCTTCTGACTTGGTGTGAAACATTCGTCCTTGGCCAGTTTTTATTTCGAACATTCATCTGTCACATGAACGAGTATTTCTGCATTGTGTTTACGTACGTCTCTCCTTTCTCACGTGCACTATTCAATTCACCAAGTTTTCCCAGTTACTTTTGTTTCATTCATGTATCACACTGCGACGGATGACCGTCTGCCAAATGAATGGATTTGTGATTATCTGTGATCGAGACTCGCGCGAAATACTCCTGTGCGAAGTTGTACAAATGCGCATTCTTTTTCGAATGGTTTGGACAGAAGTTGGTTATACCCTCTGGATACCTACTTCACATTGCCTCTTATTTGCTGAGCTTGTGCATAGTTAAAATACCTAAATTAACGACTGTCGATCTGCAAGCATGTCACTGGTGTGTTGATTTCTCATTTTTGAGCGACGTCTTGACGCGTAACAGGGATAATATATAACCTTGCAGCCATGAGTCTAATGTATTTGGTGCCTGCTTTCGGGATGTTACTTTGGCCACAGCGAATGCTGTTTTTATACTTCAAGTTCACAAATGCAGATGTCTATATACGTGGGTTCATTAGCTCTAATCGGCTTGATCTGTATATTCCACCTTACATCATGGTTTCCCTGCTTTATTCTATCATGTTTGGTAGGAAACTAAAGTATGCACCCCATCTCCCTATTTCGTTTAAAACGTGCATGTATCCTCAAGGTTCGAACCGCACCACTGCAGCCTTCGGTGAACCGTTCCCTCGTATCCTTGATTGTAGCCGTGAGAGCAACAAGGGCGGGGTATATCAGCACCTGACCTAACGGGCACTTTCTTTGCCGCATTTATTTCTGTGCGCTTATAGGCGTTCGTACATTACGATCGACGCTGGAGCAATATTCACCTGAACTCAGGTGGCACCGATCAGCCAGTGAAATCATATGGGCATGTCCCCTTTGCTCTTTAGTCTTGCTCTAAATTGATTGTTCTACCGGCCCCTCACTCAAAAATGGATGCTTTCAGACTTCACTTCTTTTGTGTGTAATTTTGTAAATAATGCATGAAAGCCGGGCGATCAGAATTCACTTCTGTGTGTAACCTCATTTCTAGAGCATCATCAGGATCCCCATTCACGTCCGACATCACCAAAGTACAATTGATGTAATCTGATATCGGTGTCACCCATTCACATCCCTACGCTTTCAGGATGATCCCTAAATCACCCATGATTAGCTACCGTTTTCGGACTAAACGGTTCAAGCGCCATGTTGTTGATATTTTGAAATAAAAGTTTTACCCACCTGCGCAAGGTTTGCCTCGAGTTGAAATTTGAAAAGAAAAGAGGCGAACCTGAAATCTGCCTTGTGTTGAAAGTCAATCATTTTCTGTTCTCGCCGCGTCCGGTCAGGAGGTAACTGACCGTAGCGCTTTCCCAACGAAACAATGCGTAAAGGAGTATTCGGTAACCAGTCAGAATAAACAGAGTAGCAAATAGGGCTTGTCGGTTTATAGTGCTTTGGATATGAGAAGCGCATGCCAAACAGTCGTCTGTCTGAAAAATATACACCAATAAAGCGTATATGTACGCATACGGCACATTCTTCAAAACATGTGCACTGACACCGTTAAACTGCGAAGCGCCGTCACCCGATTACACAGTTACGATTGGGCAAACTCAATCAGTGGTACAACTTTCACCCTGGAGCTACAGCGGAGCATGTGCTTCATACTCAATTCGACGTGTACGGTTAACAGTGGGATCGGAATTAGACTGTGCCTTATCGTCGATGGTCGTGTTAACCGCCTAAATTGGGCGTGAACTTACTGACCGGAAGGTCCCAACCTCTGCCTCTCAACTGCTGCTGTCCAGGTTTGGGCAACCTTGCAATAACTCGCTCCTCGTGCTTCCTTCTCGCTGTACGGCAGCTAGACACCGAAAGGATTGTAGCTAAACGATGAGACTGTTCGAACACTCGATCAACAAAATGTATCATGGTATAATTAATAATCTTGGAGACTGTTCATGGTCTACACAGCTTTCGGCCGCACTATATTCCACAGTCAGTGGACATAAATCCTACAGCTGCGCTACACGCCTTTGGTTGCTGCGGACCTGAAGAATAGCCAGTAGGTCATCTCTGTAGAATCTTGTTGCCAGGTCCTGTGTTAACCGTCGTTGCGTGCCAAGCCTTTGTTACGCAACCAGTTGTGTTCGCTGGGTGTGAAGCGGTTGGCTCCACCCAAGTGCCATCCACTGCCGACTAGTTTCAACCATACAGTAGGGGAAATACAGTCTCGTTTACTGAACAATAACTGTACTTGTAAAATTCAGTGACTAGGCGATAGGTCTGCGAAATATAGGGCTATTACATTTGTAAATTAGGCAGTGTTTCTATGGATGATGCTGAAAAGTCAAAGTATCCACCACACTCACTGAATGGCAATAACTAAATCCTGAATATTATGGTGACTGCTTATGTTGAACCATCGTAGGTTGTTGGTGAGGGTTACTGCTTTGGGTTAGGTAACAGCAATTTCGCATTATCCCTCATTCGTTTCACATATTCCGTCTACAAATGAACGTACAGGTCCAAAGCTTCAAAACGGCTCGTTGACACCCACGTGTGCGTATGAGTTCACACATCCGAAGTCATGGATTTATTGTGACCTTTTTTGGTGCTCTCAGGTTCAAAGTTAGGCAACCATCACTGCGCCCCTTCCCTACTAATGAAATCCTCTTCCGGATGAACCAATTTTTATCTCTTTGGTATAATCGTTCGGTTTTAATTAACAATCTATCGGGTGTTTGTTTACTTTGTTGTGCATGAATAACCGTTGTAAACCATCTTCCGCGAGGCTATGCAGATGATAACTTTCCTTCGAGATATGGCTGCCAATCGCCACCGTCCCCATAACTGTTTTTTCAACTGTTCGATCCTTATTTCTCTCGTCATTCCGGTTTCAGCTCGTCGCCAAGGCCTACGTTACACAATGACGAAATTCAACTAGAATTCCCCATTATTCTGGGCTATGGTGAACCGTTTGCTATATTCCAGATAACGTGGACTTATCTGGCGCCGCGTGCGTTTTTTGTCCCATGTAGACCTTCGATTGTATCCGTTGACTGCTTTTATCGAGTGCTTTACACAGAGCATTGGTAAATACACGATGTGTATGAGTCTGGTTTTTATCGCATGGGTGAGGAGCTATTTTTTTACTACTTTGTCGGATGACCGAAGCACGAAAAATTAATCAATTTTTTGATCATTCACTACTAATTTCGGTCGGCAGAATAAAGGCTACTCGCCGTATTATCGTGAGTCTAACCTACAGCCTAAACCCCGGGCCACTCTTGCCCTCACCCCTGTGGGTAATTTCTTGTAGGTGGTCTTCAATCAGCCGCTGCAGCGATTTATGCTTAGTAGGAACTAGCAGTTAGCAATCGCAGTGTGTAATGTGTATGCAACGGTTGACTGGTGTTCATTCAATCAAGTGGCACAGTATTAGGAATTCACTGATAGTCTGTTGACCGTTCCGCTCTTTTCGACGCATACGCCGCTGGATTTTGTGAATACTTTTGAGTGTGTGCAGTGCTCTCCGAAAGGTTCTCTACATGGTGTGGTGTCCAACGAGGACGCCCACTCTCGTCCAACTTCAGCCTGTTAACAAAACAAATGATAGAGGTTGCCCGAAACCCGGATGATATCGCTGAGGACCTTTATCAGGGATACCAGGGCATTGTCATTTTCCCAAGGAAAGGAGCGCGGGCGTTATTCAAAATTCTGACCTGGGTCGTCTCATCACTTTGCACTTGGTGGTACGCACCCTCATTGTGCGACCTCATGCTCCACACCGTACACTGAACACTACTTGCAATCCAAGAAGAGGTACCGTAGGTTGTGGAAAACTTCAAATAGCTCAGAAGCTGTGAGGATGGTTACAGCTCGGTGGTTACAGCGCCAGCATGCGGACCTTTCGGTCTGTGTTCAGATCCAACCTCAACATCTCGACTGTTCCTGTCTGGACTTGGGAAGCCCTCGCATCTTCGGGTGGCATGGCAGCTAGGCACAGAGTGGGTGTTACAGGTAAACGACCTTTATTGTCTTGTTTTGTTTCGTAATGTGACAGACGAATTTGGTCCATACGCCTTCAGAGCCGGAATCAAGTTTCTGGTGAACTTCCTCTTTTAAAATCTTGGCTAGTTTGCGACAGTCACCACCCGAATTTGGGATTTACATGTTTTCGAAATTCGAGGAACGATGGACTTTGGCCTTCTAGAGTTAGGTGTTCAAGTAAACAGATTTCACCTTAGCAGGCGACGGAATGCGCTGTACAAAGGGTCACACCCTAGAAGGGACATCTCACGTGAGAATAGTTGTCATTCCCCCTGTCTCTTGTCAAAATAGGGAATCGTAAACACTAATCCTGATACCATCGACCCTGCTCTCCATACATACCTTGCCAAACAAATCTCGTAATTATTGTGATGTAACGGAAAGTTTGACTGGGTGACCTTGACCGAGAAATTCGCTGTTATAGTAGGTAAAACGAGTAATTGTGAAAGGATTCGAGTGTCGTTCACCCGATTCCGGTTACATAACTGAGGTGATGGTGGAACCGTCGCGTACTCTGTTTTCACAATAGACCGAATTCCGCTTATCCATGTGTCTGGTACAGTTTCTGTGTAAACCAGGGGACAGCTACTTAGTGAAGAACGCGCAAGGTTCCGGTCACGAAGAGACTGGACCTTATCGTGGTGTGGCGGTTTGTGTACCTCGGCGACCCATTGAGCTATACCGGGGGGTGTCCGCGCGACACTCACAGAGTCTCTCATACCAGGTTGGTC